TTTTAATACTAATTGTATACATGTTTTCAGCATTGCCTCATCAGGATACTGCCACAGCCGCTAATAATACTGCCTGTTATTATTCCGGGAACCCAATCTCACACTTGTCTGGAATGTCCCTTGATCACAGAAACAGGTGCACACATTCACGAATCACGTTTAGTTTCGTATAATACTCACATAATTATTCCAAACACACAAACAAATATGCCAGTCGGGCAAGAGTTACTTCACTCTAAAAAACAACCTTTATTTCTAAGAGTGAATACTCACATAATTATTCCAAACACACAAACAAATATGCCAGTTGGGCAAGAGTTACTTCACTCTAAAAAACAGCCTTTATTTCTAAGAGTGCAGTCAGATGTGACAATACAACACTGTAGATTTCCGCACATTACAGGAGTCAAAACATATAGCCTATATTTACAGTTTATTATAAATCCATGCTATAATATTTAAAATAATAATAATAATAGAAGTCTAAGAGGATAATCCACTAGTCTGAACTGTAACCGTTTTATTTTCTTGAGCAGTTTTCTTGACAGAACTGTTGGATAAAACTTGCAGGAACATTTTAACCTATAACTGATGCTAGTTATCTGGATAAACAACTCACTGTAACTGCATTTCACGCCCAGATTAACTAGATATCAAAACAAGAGCACTCTTAGTCAGTTTAAAGGTCATACATTAATACAGGATTGACTTACCCGGCTAATATCACACGCACAGTGATTTGAAAACGAGCAGATGTCAGATTTCCCTGCACGGATCCTGAACATGCTATATTTTTAGCAGAACTTCACCGAATTCCTGCAGCTACACCTGTGCATCGCGCGCAGCACGTCACTCAGGTGAGCCGAGCCACACCCACCGGAGCTCGCGCGTTCACTTCCTCGAAATCTCACCCAATCTCGCAAACGTTTGTATTTCTTTGCATACTAATGAGATGACGTTCATTTGTGCACTTATGGTCACACAGAAGAAGTGGAGGAGTTTAATTCGGTTTTTTTTTCTTTCTTTTTAATCTACT